AAAAGTTAATTAATTATATACTTTGTAATTGCAACTTTCATGATATGGTCTATTTGATAAAATAGATTTATAAAGTAATTAAAGAGTCTCTTTTCTTAATTTATGGACTAATCTCTGTAAACTTCGAGCAACTGCCAAATCCATGTTTGCCAAAAATGTGAGGCATCTGAAAATTGTACTCACTTAATAAAAAAGTTCTAGCAATATTCACTAAATTGTATGAATGGAAAATATGAATGAAGACGTTCAAAGACATTAACCTATTTCGACGTGTCCAAGAAAGTCTTATACAATTTTTCGTTATCACAATATATGTATGTGGCTGTAGTATAAAATAAATTTTTTCAATTATCTTAAAAGCGCGGAAACTCTGTAGAACATTCACATCGTAGTTGCATTCGCAATTGTGATATTCGAGGTATTGTAGACGTCAACAACAATTTAAGCTACTACATAGGTGACTGTTGCATAAATTTGAACAAGCGATTCACGAATAGAGCGGAAACGTTCTACACACGTGCGACGATTAGTCTTATTCGATTGCGAAGTACGCTCCCGCAAACATTTTATCTTCTATTTCTGAGAGAAGGTCATATCGACAAAATTTATTCAGTAATGGATGTAGACATTGATTGAAGAACGTACAAAAAATGAAAAAATTATAATTAAAGTACAACTTCAATAATAATAGATTACATTTTATGAATGAATTGTCAATTTTGGGGATAATAATTACTATATTAATTTATTTAAATAATAATAACTAAATGAAATCGTTACACAAATTAATGATGTAAATAATTGGTAATAAACCTTTTAATATTTTGTTACTGATAGTCGCGTTACTTTCTCGTAACAATTTTCAAAATGTATGTGTACACCTAATTCTATGTATTGGCTGAAGCATATAAAGCGCAGACCAAACTCTGTAGTAATGATTAGTGTAATATATTCCTATGTTTATGCTTCATACCGACAGTCTGTTTCCACATTTACGCCTGTCGGTTTATTTATATTGTTACTCCACTTTACGAAGTCCACGTCGGGACAAGCTTCGTTATTCCGGTAGAGTTTTACTGGACTTAAGGCGCGTGTTTCCTGCTACTCTTTTTTAAGAAGAATTTCTCTCGTTAATTAAATTTTCTCTATACTCGCTCGGCGGAAAATTACGGTGATCTCGAGCCAAATGTGTATTCTAAAGCAAGACCAGTCCGACTGGAGCGACTCAATTTCATGTATCTTGGTCGTTATTTTACATAATTGTAAACGAGAACATCGCAAACGCCCTTGGCGAAGATATCCGCGGATAACGGCTACGAAGACGAGAAAACGATGTCGACGACGACGACAGTATGGGCGAGGCCGTTCGTTCTTGTATTTTTAGTGGCTCGTAAACTAGGCACTGGCCGTCGTTCGATCTCGTTGTCTCTCTCTCTTCCTCATGTAGTAGCGGCATACATAATCCGAATTAAAGAATCAGACTAATTTTATTTTTTAAAAATTATAATTGTTAAAATTTTGCGAATGCAGCATTCGGATAATACATAATAGATGATAATTACTCTGGAAAACCTGGATGGTTCATAATAATAACATCTGTTTGATATGCTCTAATTTTAGAATAAAATTATTTTAATGAATCAAGTAATGATTGAAACAGTTAATTTCACTAACAGGAAGTAATCGCAGGTTGCCAAATCCGGGGAGTACAGTGGGTGAGCAAACACGTTTGCTTGTTTTCGGGCCAGAAGATGAAATTGCCACTGAAAGGGAAACCTTTCAGAGATATTCAAAATATACAAAAGATATTAAAGCAGAACCTTCACAAATCAATTCCAGTTATTGATTACTATCGACATGCTGTGTGAAAATATTTTAAGTAAAATAATTTTTATCACAATCAATGTAACTTTTTAATATAAAATCAGTCATTCTATTATTTTAATCGTTCAAGCATATCATATATACTACGGATTCTCTTGTGATGTTGATTCTATTCGTTTGATTATGTTTATCTTTGGCGTAGAATGTATATTCAATTGAGGTGCGTCCGTCAGTTGGCATCGGATTAGCTTCGGTTGATCGGCCAGGGATCCTAAATATATCTATATTTACAATGTTCAATCCGCTGCTTAAATGTACGGAATTTCTATTTCGATATTTTTTCTTCAATGACGAAGAAACAAATACGGATTCGAAAAAAGTGATTGTAAAAGTGGTTGTATCTAAATCACTTTTCTAATCGAAAAAGATGTAGAAATGGAAATTCTGAACATTTAAGCAGCGGATTGAACTGAACATTAATAAGTAAATATAGATGTATTTTTTTTGGATCCCTGGCTAATCAAAGTTAATTGAAACGAAAGACGATGTCAACCGATCGAATATGCATTCTTCCTTAAAGACAAACATACAAGACAGCTGACGATGTGACGATGAGTGAAATAGTTCTGAAAACGCATCTGTCTCCTTTAGTGGGGAAGAAAATGCGACATGTGCCACTTGTTACTTCGCAAAAAAGCTACATAAGCAATTTCTCATCTATATGCTACATTCGAACAATTCCATATATATTCATTCCTTTTGAAGGATAACTCAATATTTTTAGTACATGTGAATCCCGATCATCGTAATATCGCCGTAAGATATGCTGATATACGTAAACGATCCCTGACGTCATTTGTATTTTCGTCCTTTCTCGATAATCTTCTCAGAAAAAGAAAATAAAAAAATGTACGATAAAAAATAAAAATAGACTTCTTATATAGGACAGTGTATTTATATATTTATTCGCTCGACTTCTTCGCGATTTTTTAAAATAAAAAAATAAGAATCCTGTTTCTAAGCTTATCATAATTATACTCTCAATCTTGACGTGTTTCAATACACACCGATATTCATGATTTCTGACATATTAGGCGGTATTCAAAGTCTGTTCTTATTTTGCTAATACGGCTCTCTGGCTGTTCATAACATCTTAAGACTGTAAGATGGTCTTAAATATAAGACAACTATAAATACCGGTGATTATTAACTAATAGACGGTATCGATAGATGATATTATATTGATTAAAAACACTTTTTCCTTTTGTGTTTGACCTTTTTTCTAATTTGTATTGACTAGTAGATTATCGATAAATTTCTCTTAACTTTCGACTATTACGGCAGCAACCGGTGGACACGGTCCAATTTATCTGGCACAGCTTTTCGAAAATTCCTCCGCTGCGTTTCATACATCTCCCTCTCCCTTTACGCATCTTAGTCAAATCATTCTGCCAACCGTTTCGCGGGGGTGTCCGTTAACCGAATGCTATTACGTTACTCTCAACGATGGCGGAGCAAAGGGATCGACAAAGAGGTAGAGAGAGAAAGAAAATGAAAAAAACAAGTAGATAAAAAAAGGCGCAGAGATGAAGAGGAGAAAAGACGCGGATATGTGATCACGGGAGTAAAGAAGCGTAACGGAAAGAGAAGCTACCAGCGAACAAACTGAAAGGCAGAAAGAGAGTGAAAAAGAAAAAGACAGATGGCAAAACTAAGAGCGAGTAAGAAGACAACAGAAATAGAGGGGAAGAGAATCGGAACCACCTCTCCTGTTTCTTCTAGCTCTATTCTAAGGAAGTCGTCACCAAAAATGGCGGGGCGCGCGAAGCGTGTATGCGACGATGCGCGTAACATCGTCGCCCGCGCTTTGTTATCGCTTGATATTATCACAAGACGTAATCAAGGCCCTCGCGTGACGAAACGCGACGATTTTCCCAAGCACGGAAAACTGGGAGAACGGGGAGGTGGGACAACATCTCGATGTCTATAGTCGATAATTGTAACCTAACACCTACCGCAGAGGCAGTGGTTTGCTCTCTGTACGCTCGAATGAAGCGCAGCCCGCCAAGAATGTACGCAATCTGCCAAGGAACGGGAACGATAAGCGTAAAAATGTGCAAAAGCGGGATCGATCTCTTCTTACAGCCACCTGAGGAAGCGAAGCATACTTAAAATTAGAGTACAAAACATCGTTGTCTATTTAAGCACTACAGCTTTGTCAACCATTTAATTACATTAGTTTATAAGTGCTGAATAATTTTTAGTATAAGAAAAAAAACCTTTTTTTTTAACGTATTATAGGGTGCTAAGTTCGAATCTTCTGCTTGAAAAATTTATCGGATCGAATTTTTAAAACATGTTAATTTTTAAATATAACATGTCATTTTTCAGGTATTGCATGTAAACTTTTAAGATACAGCATTTTTGTCCTGAATAATTTGGGTGCGATAAGTGACCAGTAAGGCAAACACTTCTATCAGGATTTGATGATAATTGAAAAATGTTATTTTCAGTATTAGAACAAAAACGTGCGAAGCGACTATTGATGGATTCTAAAGGTAGCTCCAAACGATATGTACGCCAATGTACATCACATTAACAATTATTATACATACACACGCATGGCATGTATAATTATCCATATGAATGTAAGCCAATATTTAGCTAATGTGCGGAAAGTTGGCATACATTGGCCATATCGTCTGGAGTCGCCTTAATATGTAAAACCGATCCAAAGTCCAAAAAACAAAAATTAAACGCTCAACACTACTGATTGTTTTCTAATTTCAATAAAACTTCACTGTATTGGAAAAAATGTTTTTTCTTGTATCTCAAAAATCAGACTTGATGGAAGTATTTCTATGGTAAGATTCGGATTCAACGTCGAAAATTACCCTAGAAGCAGTTTTTATATACTCTTGCACAAAATCTTGCAAACTGGTTTATCAATTTATATATTCTTTTAATGAATAATGCGTTTCTTGTCAGTTTTTAAAAAAATTATAATTAAATATTAATTAATACATATGCGTGCCCTAATGCAATCTTAACAAAATGTTCTCAGTGCTTACTATTAAACATATGTAAAATAAATATAAGTATTTTCAATCGACGTCTACTCCGGTTTCTTATTATTTAATACGATTTTCCTAGATCTAGTAGTAATCTGTCTACAGATGCCCGAAGTTGCACCACATGCGATAAAGTCCTGGCCGAACTGGAGAAAATCGACGACGATACAGACCACTTTGGAGTCGACTTTGTCAAAATCAACGATAAACGACTGGCGAAGCAATATGGTATCAAAAACTTTCCGGCTCTTACATATTTCCGCGAAAAAGAACCAATCATATACGATGGTAAGTCAGTACTTAAATAAACTCAAGCACACAATAAATATCATTATTAATAATTTGCTAAAATTATGTTAAGTTAGTGAGAGCAAAAATTGAGAATTTACTAATAAATGAAACTAATAATTATAAAATTCATATAAAATATTATTAGCCATTAAGATCCGTCTTGATTGAATATGGTCCAGTAAAAAAACACCAAACTAACAGTAACATAATACCAATGTTATAATTTGACACTTAATATATAAATGTAATATAACACACGTTGCATGTAACATTAAGAAATGTGAATTATAACATTGATATTATGTTATTGTTACTTTATGTTTATTGGGGTCCTCTTTTGCTTATTTATGTTGAATATTTCTTAGTCGATTTTCACTTAATATTGTTTATATACAAATGTGTTATCGCACAGAGAAAAACGTATATGTGATTATTCACTTAGGTGACTTGATGGACGAAGAGAATGTACTGGATTTTCTTACCAGTTTGGAAGCTATGGATCTACCAGATCGTATCGAAGAAGTTAACGCAAAAATTCTGTCGAAGATTGTTGAGGAAACGGATTTCGTGGCAGTTCTCTTCTGTAAGTTGTTTTTCCCATTATTAATTATTAAATTAAGTCTTAGTCAAAAACATTCGGAAGATCGAATTACTCGAAATATGTCCAACATTCATCCTTTCAATAAAATATCGTGCATGCCAATTTCGCTGTAAAACGTTTCTTAGAAAAGATTCTATGAAATACATATGTGAGATATATTTAAAAAGTAGGCAAATTAAATTAAATAATTGATTTTAATTGATAATATCAAATGTTTACGTTTAATCATCAAATCATGAAATGTAACTAAAGAAAGAATATTTAATAGCATACTCCACTGATTATATAACAAGGAAATATCTTTTCCCCCGCAAAGATATTTTTATAAATATGTAAATATAAAACTAATATACTTAAAAATATTAATGGTTTAAAATGTGAGCTTAAGGATAACAAAGTTACTTCTTTATGCTTAGTATAAAAAAGAGATAATTTTGCATCAAATTAGTATGTAGAATAATTTAAGAAAATTGTTTAAGTCACGTATAAATGAGCTAGCAAGCTCGAAACAGCAGAAGAAAACGCAAACAGAGAATGAGAAATACGAAACAAAGCAGTCGTTCGCAAGTATGTAGTTGAACAGCTGTAATTTATGAGCACAAATAATTTTTTTAGTAATAGCGGAGACGTGAAAAAAGGATGATTGGACTCAACTGGCACCTCTGAATTTTTTTAGTCTGTGTATTCGTAAGATTTTCTATAGTTCGACATCCATTTAAAACTAAGTTTTAGGCTAATAACTGTATCAGTCAACATCGAAAAATCAACGGTGCTACACAGTGATGTTACGTAATGTACCCTGACCGTCATCCGTGTACCTATCGTCCGTTAATCTGTTATTGTCCGACGTCTTACTAATCAATTGTGTATGTCACGTTTGCGATGGAATTGTTCGTCACTCTCCGCAGAACGTAAACTAACAGTAACATTACATCAATATTATAATTTTCCGCTCAATAAAATAAATTTAATATAACATATATTATACTTTATACTTACATTGTTGAGTTAATTATAACATTAATGTAATATTAGTATTTGTGTTCTGCGGATCTGTACATAAAATATAAAAATCGCGATTAATTTCTCCACAAATACGATACAATTTTAAAATATTGTGTACTCTTGCCGTATGCACGTAGATCATTATTAAGCACAATAAATTAATAAAATGGCAAATTTAATGAGGTGGCTTCCAGATCTTTTGCTATGATTATTACGAAGCTCTTAGTCATAATTAGATACATATATATCACTATGTACAGTTTCATGTTCCTTGAGTTGCAGTTGTTCTAATTTTACGTATACAGAGAAGGATCTAAAGAGATACATTTTCTTATCGTTGTTTAATCAACAAACAAATGACACTAATGTCTATCATCTGTCATTAACCTGTTTTAATCTGTTATTAATAGCAATCGTTCTCTGTATAAAATGTTTACATCAGTTTGTCTATCTTATTTTATCTGTAAAGTTCACCCAATTATCTTTATTGTTTTTGTTTTTTATTGTCAATCAAGTTAAAATATCTTATCGCAAAATGGAAATTTTATATCAATAAGGATATAAATTTTGACGATCAGATCTGTCGAAAGTATTCATCCTTTGCGGTTCGATTACATACAAAATATACTTGTAAATAATACATATATGTGAAAATTTTTGTGTGTGTTGATACGAATAGGTCCAAATACGGAGCGGTGTGCAGGCATCGGTTCTAGTAAGTACATACTTATAAGAAATCGATGTGGTTAATATCTGTGGCACAGTATTCTAGCTTTTTTACACAGCAACACACACACACACACAGACTATATGCATTCGATATCGACTGACGCACTAATGAAAGATCACTTTGCTGTTCAATTGCAGTTACTACTATTGCAAAGCTAAATTATTTTTTTCTTAAAGCGCCTTCTTTTATTGCAGTTGTATTTGATTATGAAGCGAAGAATTATGGATTTTTTTTCGTGAGATTATTTTTTTTGTTCCTTTTTTGTGAGGAAGTGATTCTTCGCAAGTGCATCACCCGGAGTGGCGACATTGATATGCATTTTCATATAACAATTTTCACTTATTCCTGACTTGTCGATCTGCGTGTTCATCGATTATCAAAGTTGATATATCGCGTTCCTGCAGCACTTCGCTCAAATGTGCGTATACAACGACAGAGGGATGCGAAGAAAAACAGATATCAATGGAGTGGCAAGAATATTTACACTCATGCATTTCTCTTTTCATGTACAATTTTTAATATGTAATGAATACATTCATGAAATCTTTTAGAAATTATTTTTAGTAAACTAGGATAATTGATAACAGTTTAAATTGTGTAATTGATAAAGAGTCGACTAACATCTCGAGCTTTTTCAGTTTTCTGCCTTTTATCATTTATTAGTGCTTTGAACTGTAATTCTTAGCTAATTAAAATATTAGCAAATATTTAATTATTATCCGCCTTTATAAGTGTGTATCAATCAGATATAGAATATGTAGAACGCATTATATATATTTCTGTTTAGAATAAAACAATGCATTAGAGTGAAATTTTGAGAATAATTGTGACTAATCGAATCGTTTCAATATCATTTGTATTTAAGACAATCTAACATATCTAAAGACGGTCATCCCCATCATTTAAAAAAAATTGAATATTTTATGAATATATTTCTCGATAACATAGCAAAATTGTATAATTTATATATTTTCTATTTGTCTAGTAATTACTGATATTGTTAGACGTGAGTAATGACCTAAGAAAAAAATATAATTCAATTAAACTAGCAGATAAGTTTTTAATTTTATATTTGTAAAAAAAAGGGCATATATATGAACGGAATAAAACGCTCAAAAGAATGGCGTTGATCGTTTAATAACAGAAGCACGCAATAATACATCTTTTTATTTCAAATGGGACAGACAAACCAGACTGCAAAAAGTGTCTCAAGGCCCTACAAGAATTGGAGAACATCGATGACGAAGCCGATCAATTGGGCATTGGTTTCGTAAAGATTGCGGACGAGGAGCTGGCAGATGAGTATAATCTCGGTCCTCTCCCAGTTCTTGTGTATTACAGGCATCAAATTCCAATTATTTACGAACGTAAGTACGATAGAACAAGAATAATATATGACACATGCGTCGCAGCATTTAAATAATTAAAATTACGCAATATACAATTTTAATTATTTAAACGCTAAATAATATTAAGATAATTTTGTGATATTTACGTTAATTTCTTTAAAAAAATGAATCAGAAGATTTCTATTTACAGTAATAGTACATAATATCTTACAACAATTTAATGAAACTATACAAAATTCGATGGTTAATGATTGAGTGACTGTCACAAATTTTCTATGTCACTGAAGTATTTTACTTTATCCTAATTTAATTATATAAAGCAATACAGAGATGAAATTAACTCGCAGTACGTGCTCTTAGATGAGTTGAGTAGAGAAGAAGACGTGCTGGAATGGCTGGTAGCGAACAAGAGCACGGGAGATGAAGAGGATGTTATCGAAGATGTTACCGCCAAAACGTTGAACACACTAATTGGAAACATTGACAATTTAGTCGTTCTGTTCTGTTCGTATATTTTTGATCATTTTGTCAGCCTCATCTGTTTTGCCTTTATTTTGCTTTGTAATATGCCCTCGTGCTTGTAGATGATCACGGTGATGAAGACTCTATGCAGGTTCTAAATGAGCTAGAAAAAATCGACGACGATTGTGATAAGCACGGTATTCAGTTCGTGAAGATCGACGACGAAAAGGCGGCGGAAGAATTCGGAATCGACGATTTACCGGCGATCGTCTATTTCGAGAAGCAGATCCCGAATGTTTACGACGGTGGGTAGGTGAATCGCACATACTGAGCGAAACAATAGTATAAATAATATCAAAAATAAAATTACAGAAAAAAAATCGTATTGATTCTAGACTAATAAAAGAAAAAGTTTGTAAATTATTTATGTAGATTAATTCATTCAGAAAAATAACACGATAATTGCAGGAGATGTAGAAGATGAGGACGAAATTTTGGAGTGGCTGTTGTCGCAACTCGAAAAGGACGAGATAGAAGACGTCACCGATGAGATGCTGGATCGTCTCATTAAAGATGGGAAGACCATAGCTGTATTGTTTTGTAAGTTGCTTTTGTAAATTAATAGATAGATATTAGATTTAAATAATATTAAAACGTATTTATTACGATAACACAGACGACAATAACGATCGGAAGTCTCAAAGAGTTCTCAATGAATTGGAGAACATTGACGATGAATGCGATCAGCTCGGCGTGACGTTTGTGAAGATCGATAATGCGGAGGAGGCTAAGGAATATGGCATTCAAAAAGTACCTACGATGCTCTACTTTGAGAAGGGCATTCCGATGGTATATGAAGGCAATCTCGAAGATGAGGAGAAAGTGCTCAAATGGTTGGAGCAGCAGCAAAAAGCTGACCAGATCGAGGACGTCACCGACGAAATGCTTGACATGGTTATAGACAAGATGCCGCACGTAGCCGTTCTCTTTTGTCAGTAACACATTTCTAGGGCTTCTTTTTTCTTTACATGATAATTGAAAATTGCATGATTACGTTACTTTCAATTATCAATACATGTTGACGTAATTGTTGATATGATTCTATCGTTACTGTGCAGATGATAAAGATCAGAAGAAAAGTCAAAAGGTATTAAGTGAATTGGAGAACATCGACGACGACTGTGATCAGCACAACATAGCCTTCGTGAAAATCAGCGACTTGGATGAGGCAAAGGAATATGGCATAGACACGCTTCCCACTTTGGTGCTCTTTGAACGAAAGATACCACACATTTACGATGGTTAGTTTTTTGAAAATTTTCATTTATTTAAAAAAGAAGAACTAATAGGGAAATGGGGTTAAGAAATTTTTTTCATTTGCGTTCCGCAGGCGATCTTATGAACGAAGATCAGATACTGGGCTGGCTGTTGCATCAGAAAAAACATGCCGAGATCCCGGAAGTAACGGACGAAATGGTCGAAAAGCTCGTAGAGACTTCGCCGTACATAGCAGTCCTGTTTTGTAAGCGATCGATTCGTCTTTCTACCTCCTTTTAACATTCTTCCACTGTTACTTGTTAGGTAGGTGCTGTTATATGGTCGCGAGTGAGAGCGACCAGCGAATTAATTCTTTTCCGTAGACGACAAGGACGATAAGCAGGACATGCGGATTCTGAACGAGTTGGAGAACATAGACGACGACCTGGAAAAGGAGGGGATCATCATTGTTCGCATAGACAACGATGCCGAGGCCAAGGAATACGGTATCGATCATCTCCCAACCCTAGTGTATTTCGAAGACAAAATTCCGGCAATATACGAGGGCGATCTACTGAACGAAGACGAAGTCCTCGAATGGCTGATAGAACAGAAGAACAGTGCTACCATTGAGGAGGTCACGGACGAGATACTGACGGATCTCATAGAGGACCACGAATACGTTGTGGTATATTTCAGTAAGCAAACATTTCTCATCAGTATTATCTACAGAAAGTCAAATGATTAATAGCTTCATTGAGTTAATTGCATTAGAACTCCTTTTATCCGAATATGTTAAAGGGCAAGACAGTTCCGATAACTGAATAGTTCAGATAACAAAGATTCACTAATTCTTCCTTCTGCCAGTACTTATTAATTCTGATAACAGAAGCTGAAAAAGAAAATTTAAGTCGTCGAGTTCCTATTATCTGAACTACAGCAGCTATGAGATATTTGGAGCTAAGCAAAGTCCATTTATATGAACTTTGTTCGTATAAATGGAATACAAATAAATGTGGAGTTCTACTATATCCTCTTCGATTGCTTACGATATAATCGACCAAAAATTGTGACAGGTGGAAGTTGCGACGAAGGAGAAAAATGCGACAATATTCTCGAAGATTTAGAAAATATTGACGACGAGCTGGATGAAACGGGCATAATATTCGTTACTACCGAAGACACCATCACAGCAAAGAAGTATGGCATCAGGCATTTCCCGACTCTCGCGTTCTTTCGAAACAAGGATCCGTTGATTTATACTGGCGATCTCGATGACGAGGATGAAGTATTGTCTTGGATCACCGATGAGGACACTTTGGAGATACCAGGAAAAATTGAAGAAGTCAATACTAGAATGCTGGAGAACATTCTCGATGAGAACGATTATGTCGTCGTCTTTTTCTGTATGTCAATCGCAAAATGATCAAATGTATTACTATACGAAAGGATAGTTTTGCTGAAGTATTTAAAATTTAGCTAGATACAGATCTGAAAATAATTTTGTTAGACAAAATAATTATGTAGAATGTTAAAAAACTTTCTGCAGTATTGTTCATTATGCTTGGGATCCTATAATTATTTTGATAGTCCAACAAAATTATTTCCAACTCTGTTATCTAGTTTAATTGTTAAATAGAATATTCAGCAAAACCATTCTTTCCGTGTATAACAATAACAATACTTATTTATAGATAAAGAAGGCGATAAGAAGAGTCAAAAGATCCTGCAAGAGCTTGAAAACATTGACGACGAGTGCGAAGAGAAGGAGATCGACTTTGTAAAGATTTCCGACGAGGGAATCGAAAAGGAATATGATCTTCCGGGATTACCGGCATTGGCATTCTATAGACACAAATTCCGACAGATCTATTCCGGTGACATGATGCATGAGGAAGAAATTTTAGAATGGGTCCTCGAGCTTCGCACAACAACGCCGGATGTTATTGAAAGCGTCGATAGAAAAACGTTATGTGTTTGAGCATTATAGATAAATATTTAATAACCATGATAAAAATAAGAAAAAATATCTATAATGTGTAAAAAAACATTCTATATATCTCTATCTATCGATTATCTATGGACATATTATTTATATCTTTTTCGATATATTTGTTTTATATAATGACTGGCTTAAAATTAGCCAGGAAAATTAAAGGATTCACAATTAAAACACACTTAGAGAGCAAAAAGTATTCTAACATATAATGATATAAGATATTATTTTTCTTTTTTATATACTTGAAGTAAAACGCACGTAACGTTTATTTTTTCAGAGATTACATAATTAGAGTTTGTAATTCCAAAAATAGCAATTTTTCTAATAAAAATAATTTAAAAATATAAATTTATATTTTGGTATTCAGAACGCGCTTCTATCGATTTATTTTTGCGCGTCCTTATTTTTGAAATTCCATAGTAGATATATACATACTGTGAACTTCATGCTAAATGTATGCTAATATCATTACAAGTATACATTCTACAGGCCAAAATTGGCCATTGTGTATATGTTCTCGAGATCATATATAATAGAAAAATTATAATTTTTAATAGACGATGACAAGTGTGAAACCTGCGCGGATATTCTCGAGGAATTAGAAACGATTGACGATGATACTGACAAACACGGTATTCAATTCGTCAAATCAAACGATGCTAAACTGGCGGCTGAAATCGGCGTTTTCTCCTTCCCGGCTCTCGTTTATTACGAGACCGGAGTCCCCATCATGTACGACGGTAAGTACCGAAAGCTTTAATTCTGTTTTTTTTTTATTATCGAGCTTACCCTACCTTTTTCATATAATCCTCGTTTTTTTTTCACGAAAAAGAAACAAGATTAAATTACTTTTATGCTACGCGTTCTCCCTTTATTAAGTCACTCTTCACCACCTTAAAATAAATTGTTGTTAATTAACGAAAAGATTTCAATGCAACAGAATTTCAATAATAATGCAGCGTGTTTAGTCCATTTTTAGTGATCAGATTAAAAATCCCGGATTGCTACTAACTTTTCTTGAAAATGATATCAATATATTATAAATTCGAATCTATATGATCATAATGAAGAGCGACTTAGCGTGTTCCTTTCAGCAATTTCCACGTCGATAAAGCGATAACGCGAAACATGACATCGACAATGATCACGGTGCGTTATCGAAGCTAGCTGATCCTGATACGCGTGTGTGCCTTTTGTAGGTAATCTTAAGAACGAGGACAGAGTTCTGGAATGGCTAATCGAACAGAAAAGTAAGGAGATTTCTAGGATGATGATTATTATTACTGGTGTACTGTTCTTTGTGACGTTAATCTCGGTCGTGACTATACCACCGGGCTACGAGTACAACACTCGCGCTGTGTTGATCACTCCGATCACGTTACCACCACAATTACTATGATTGCAATAATGATAAACGATAAAGAAGGAAAAAAAAGCGAATGAAACATCCGTCGAGTTTAAAGGGATTTCCTGTAATCGTTTATTGCGTTGTATCTTGATTCGCGTAAAAAAGGATTTAAAAAAAGGGTTCGATCCAAAGTGTGGGACGTCACGAAGCTCGGTGAAACGCGATTTTCAACATGCACGCTGGCCATATTATATTCTCACGGTATAATGCATTTAAATCACACTCGCAAGCTAATCTCACTTATATTTTGCCTTTTTTACTCGCTCTTTCATACTGTTACGTGCTAGTATACAGCTACATCGACGCAATAATGCGGAACGTATCACGTGATGCGTCGTACAAATCTTCCCAAGCCTATCTCGCGAAAAAAAGTGTTACGACGCGTCACCGTTGAATTACAAATAACGACTTTATGAATTGCTCAAATATTTGAAGCTTTACATCTTGCAGCTTTCGGCGCACTAATAACGGCTATTCTACTTCTTTTTTTATTTCTTTTTTTTTGGACGCGTTTAACAAAGCTTTCGTGATTTAAATCAATACGAAGTGTCAAAGTCGCGAATCAGTTTGTAAATTGTGGAAACTTAAACTATAAAGTACATTTTTATTTCGAAAAATTGGAGAAAAAAATAATGTAATGCGAAAGATACACAAACTTATAAATAAATTCGTATATTATAAATTTTATGTTCGGCAACTGATATCAGTATAAATATCATTATTAATTAATACGTTTATATTGTTATTCTTAAATTATTTGAGTAGAATAATTCTATTTGTAAGTTTTCGTAAGCACGATTGCTGCATCATATAAGTCCATACAGTGGACACTTTGATTATCTAAGCCTATTTTATTCATATTCGTATGATAAACGCGAAAACTGTAAATGTTGTAGAAATAAGGTAGAAAATGGGAAAAAAATATAATATTTCTTTTTTACATAATAAAATATAACAATATTTTGCGTATGTAACAGAATTTCGGGAATGTTTAATGTGATGCGTCTATAACGTTTGTCATTAAAAAAATTTTTTTATGCATGTCATCCCTTTGGACCGAGGCCATATCGATCACAAAAAACCTACGTACACAATTCGGTTTTAAATCGCGCTGTATATTATCCATGATCCGTTAATATGCAGGTAATGATGATGATGATGATGATGATGATGATGATGATGATGATGATGATGATGATGATGATGATGATGATGATGATGATGATGATGATGATGATGATGACGACGACGACGACGACGACGACGAAGACGACGACGATAACGACAACGATGACGAAGACGACGATGACGACGATGATGACGACGACGATGATGATGACGATGATGATGATGATGATGATGATGATGATGATGATGATGATGATGATGATGATGATGATGATGATGATGATGATGATGATGATGACGATGATGATGATGATGATGATGATGATGATGACGATGACGACGACGAAGATAGCGACAAAAATAATAAAAAATCAAACAAAGTTCTGAAGAAAATCCTGGACAAAGGTAAAGGCCCAACGACAACCCAGGAGGCCGAAGAGGAGCTCACGTGAGATCGAAGTGTGACGGGCTTTGTGTTTCGCGAAAGACAGAAACTATACAATGATATCCTAAAAGCAGTAGAGAAATGTATACCAATAGATCGATTGGTATTCACTATAACAACGTAATTTAGATGAAAGTTGGCTGTTCACTCACCATTCACGGTAGAACTGGGAGGTGTAGGACATACCTGCATGAACCTATTGTCATCATATTTTACGTACTCACACTAGCAAAGTGCATCCATATGCCTGAACTATCTCCCAATCGGTCATCAGTTTCCTCAAAATCCCTAAATCTTTTTCGCGTAATGCATGCCCGCCTTATAACAATCCTTCTTTGACGGAGCTACGCAACCAAGCATTGTCATGAATTATTTTTAATTCGTAATTTCGATGTAAAATCTTTTGATATTTTAATATAAAATATATTAATTTGACATAGAGTATATTTTATTTACATAACGAAATGTCACGTTCAATTTTTTTTTTTAAGAAAATTAATTACTTAACTACTTCGAAAATTTTATGGTACGTAGCTCCTATTTTGTTTGCATTTTTACCAATTGAAATACGGGCTTCTCCGAAGCGAGCCGATGGTTTCTGTTGACAGCTGTCGTCTGCAGCGAATTACGAGTCGAAAGAAATTGGACTAGTCTCCGTTCAAAAAAAAAAAAAAAAGAAAGAAAAATAGCATTGCTAAACAATTTTGGATTAACACGAGATAGTTCGCGAAGTAATTTATGGCATTAATTTTTTGTTACAAACGTATATATTTCTTATTCAATATTAAATAAACAATATGGAAAACGCAATCATACGTAGAAGTTATGAAGAGGAGGCTGGTTTACGTTTGAACGGTTATCTAGAAAGAGTCGTCGACTCGCCGCGAGAATTCTCTATTAAAACATTGTCTATTAAAAACATGCACGTTTGGCTTTTGCTAAGCAATTGGGATTGCAGTGGAACGTTCTCTATGCGCTAGCAACGTCGAGATCGCACGAGTCAATATATTTTCGTTTCACCTTGATTCTCTCTTTCTTTTATTTGTTTCCAATGTCTCATTAATTTCCCTCTTTCTTTTCCTTCTTTTTTGTCATTCTGCCTATTTGTTCCATTATATTCACTTCGATCATTTTTATCCGTGATCCTATTTTTATTATTTAATTCAGATTGACTCGTGCGACGAGACCAATCAGTCATAGGCTAGCCAATTCTTATAAATCTCTCATTCTCCTTGTATCTGACTCGTTGTATATTTGCTTACTGCAGGCGACGGCTGTTTCTACATCGGGATGGGAGGTAAAAGCGCGAAACCCAAGATTCCCTCCTATGAGCCCTACCAGTGCTGTCCCACCAAGCTCAGCCACGGCACCAAGGTCGCCAAAGTCACCAAAATCGGCCCGATTACCAAGGACAAGAGCAAATTTCAAGGTACCGGCAGAACGGATAAGCCACTACTGCCGGCTTTGAAGCCAATAAACAAGCTCACGGCCAAGGAGAGCAAAAAATCAGCGACGATATCGAGAATCGACAACGACGCGAAGGAATCCAAGTCCAAGGCCAAAAGGGGATTTTTCGGAAGCGGTAAATATTTCAACCGGCCATGAAGTTAAATGGCTGCCCACGCGTACGGTCCATCAGTCACTTTGGCAAATTAAAACGTAAGCATGTTCGCCAGGAAAAACAAATTTTCATTGACAATCGTCGCATTGATTTCTTCGGAATGAAAATGAAATCGGATAACAAATGTGCAAATAAATTGAATCGAAAGGCAAGAACGATCAGATCGTCTGCTGTGGGTAGCGATTTAACAAGTTGTCTTCTTTTCGGAAAAGATAACGAGCGATGAACGCGATAAATGCTTAGTATAACAGACGGGAAAGGAAATAGTGAGCTCGAAGATAGATTTTTCTGAGGCCGAGCCACCCGGCACGGAGAAGGTACGCCGCATCGGAAATAAGATCACGGTCACCTGACTTTTCGTCCTCGTATCTCGGATGCAGGTACCTCGCGGGTCTCGCGCGATCCATGAAGAGCGTCCAACGACGCACAACTTCCGGACGAGCAAGACGATCGAAGATTCGACACGTGACTTCCACGCGGCTCTGGCACCGGCACCGGCTGAATTCTCCGAGTCCTCGAGTCGTCAGAATAACGGGCATCGATTTATTTGACGTGCCGATCGATTTGCTAGTTCATCGGACTATCAATGATTCGGCCAACTATTCTCAGAATGTAATCCCTTATTGTAGTAATTCGATGATGGAGCTAAGGTTATTTACGAATCACAAGAAGCTGCGCTTGCCTAAATAATTAGCAATTTTATATATGTATATCCATGCATTATTGTTAACAAAATGACTTTCGCAATCTTCGTTTCGGTATATACTTGAAAAAACAATTCGTAAAGTAACCTAGCTCCTAATGTTTGTAAAACCCCCGTTCGTAAATACATTTCTTATAAATTATATGCATTGGTCGATATAAAATATCTATTCTGAATTCGGACCCCTCGAACATACATCGTCATGGAAGAGGACAGACGAGACGACAGAAGCATATTTAATGTGTAAAGGCGTGAAAGATCGTGAGAATAATTTTTCTGTCCTCTCACTGAGAGTTGGGTCGGGTTGTGGGTTGTTGCAGTTGTGGCTGGAATACCATACCTCATGAAGGTCTAAATGGCCGACACGCACATCGGCGTCTGGACGCGCGAGGTCGGGCTGTGAACGCCGATTAGGAAATGAAGAAAGAGGACTCGCAAGACGATGGTTGAACAAAGGAAAAATTCGCTCGACAGAAAAATCCGCGCAATGACGGAAGAAGCCAGGTGCTCTATGCTATCATGTGCTAACAGCTCGAAAAAGATAAATTTCGCTATTGAGCGAGTAAAGATTTCATGTTTCTTAAAGGAACGAAATATCTCGTTGCCATTTAACACATTGTTGTCGTCATTTATCAATTGTCAATATTGTTCCATCATCATATTTGCCGTCGAATTCACTTTCGTCATTATTGTGTTATCATTGTCAACGTCATCATCACATCAGTGTCATAATGTCATTGTCATCGCTAGAGTCATCAACTACGTCATCTTTCTTCGCGATGTATTCATCCGTGTGTCATGCGCAGAAAAATAAATGAACATCCGCGAGCGATTTTAATGTTTCTGTTAATTGTTATGTGTATGTAAGGAGCTTAGATATAAACGCATCTTACGATCGATAAAAGGACGTTATAGAGAAATAATTCACATCGGCTGTGCGTATACGATACTGAAGAGATTAGAGAAGAGCCAGTATATTCAATAGTATGTCGGTCCGGTATCTGCCGATGATCACGCGATAAACCGAATTATTCTCGCAACGTATGCATTTCTTATATAGAATCTCGATCCTTAACATCCGACCGTCGTCTAACGCTGAATATTGTTTATTGGTTTTGTTTTATCCGTTAACCCGTTAACGTCACGAAGAGCGATACCGCCGATTTGTTGCATTTCATCGATAACATTCGTACTCAGTAATGGGTAGGACTTTATAGTGTAGGAAAAAGGAAATGTGAACAATCACTGTTGTCAAGACTACGGATAGTGTTCTACCTAGATTGCGGTATATACGCTCTAGCGTTTAATTTAACATGAGAGAGATTAATCGTTTGTAAACTAAAACCTTTCATTCTGGATCCTCCGTTTTTTCGATTTCTGTATTCTTTCTCTTCTATCCTAATAAAGCCTACTGATCCTCAAGCTAACCTTCCTCTTCAACATTATATTTATAAGATTAAAGAGATCTCAAGAATGAAATGAAAACTGGGCTGAGGCCCAGAGTTAGAGCGAAGCTATGAACGAATGTCTTGCCTATGATTTTATTTATATAACGAGATTTCTTAGTAATACAGAGAGTTCCTACAGTGTGTTTATGTCAGTCATCTGTTTTAAAGTGGAAAGAAATCTGATTTGCCATGAATTACAAATTATTTCGACAATGCCGATTTAAAAAAATTGAGTTTAAAATTCGGTAATAATAACAGTTATTGAAATTATCATCGATATCTCACCATTAAAATTTCACAGAACTTATGAATTTTTCGGATTAGAAAAACATAAAAATATGTATCTTAAAAATATTATCTTAACAAAAATATTATCTTGACAGACTGTATTATCTGAAAACAAGAAAAAAACGCATCATACATGTAAATAAGATTTTACGAATTGCAAATATAATTGTGATTGCGTCTCTTATCTAAAATATTACTTTTAACTCCGGCATAAATAAGTTCTGCTCTTCCTTTGCAATACGTTGAAAATCGACATATGGTTTTTTACATCCATATATTTTGTTAAATCTCTAATGCTTATCTAGCTTTATGGTTGCATGAATTTACAATGAAGAATAGCCTTTCGAAGAATCGCGATTAGATCGCGTGAAAAGATCCACGATAAAGAGGTATCTATTTATTTATTTATTTATTCGTAATTAAAATACTTCTTGTCTCATGTGTTCGCCGTGTTTTGTCGCTCAGTGTCCGATAATCTGCGCAAGATACAAACACGTCATCAGGAAATTGTTGAGTTACAAGCGAAATTCGTATAATATTGTATCGCGACCTAAGAGCGTAAAGTCGATCATCTTAGGTATTTTAGAAAATCGTCGCGTCATCAACGAACGAAACTTTTAGTCGCACTGTATCTGTGATCACGATTATCAGACGTTATGAATTATTGCTCGTGAACGTTGCGTGCGAGTCAATAAGTCCTTGTTATTCGCATAAGAGCAGCATGTACGATAATAAAAGTCGATTATATGATAACAATAAATATATTTCCTAATATACCCTTTGTATTTGCTTTATCCACCATCGCTCTAATAATAATATAGGCTTCATTATTGTATTATACATACGCTTACACGTCCAATTCGATCGACAAAAACTCACATTAAAATTACGTGAATTATATACAAATTATTTGATGAAAAATTAAAAAAGTATAAAGATAAATTATTTATCTCGATTATATCCAGTAAAATGATATCAAATATTTGTAAAAGTAAAAAGTTTATTTTTATTAAGCATATAAAAATAAAATTAAACTAATTATTTCTTGACAAAATCTCTAAACAACTTTAAACGTTTTAGCTTTATTTGTTGTTATACAATCCTCAACGAATTAAACATACTTATGGATCTCTTAATTTAATGTGTGATAAAATCATATTATTAAAGGTATATAATTTTGTCATTATAAACAATCTTTACATATTTTCACGATAAAACAACAGTTTATGAAAAAAAAATTGATAGAAATGAATAGCCATTCCAGAACAGCGACAATATAAATAATTATCGCTATATCGACATATTATTCTTTAGTAAACTGAATTGTTGTAGATCAAAAGGTAAATCAAAAGGTACATCAAAAGGTCTCTAATATATCTAAACTAGTAAAGTTGGTACAGAAATCTGTCAAAAAAGCCTCAAAAAAGTCTCGAAAAAACTTCAAAAGAGCCTGAAAACGAAGTGACTTTCTTTGGGCTTCAATATAATGTTTTATGCATAAATATATTTTGAAAAATATATATACTTAGCAGAATTATATATTAAACTACATTTTTCATTATTATATTAAATACAAAATTATCATCATGAAATACAAACCTGAAACTATCAAAAACTGCATTAAAGATTTCTAGTACATATTGCTTTCGTCAAGAAAATAACTTAAAGAATATCAAAATATTTAAGGGGATGCTGGAGGGATCCCCAATTATCGACATTGCAGTTTGATCAAAATCTCCGAATTGACTAAATGGAATAAAAAATTCTTTTACAGGATTAAAGTAAACGCAAAATCCTGACGTGGTGCAGTGGATTTTATATTAAAATAAAAAAAAAGTTAAAAAAATTTTTTACTTTTTATCGATTTTAATATAACATCCATTGCACCACATCAGGATTTTGCATTTATTTTAATCCTGTAAAAGGATTTTTTATTCCTTATATATATATATATATGTATGCTCAACATACAAAAATTATAGTTTTGTATAATTTGTAAAGGACTTTATTACATTCTTTCTTAATAATGTTAGAAAATATTTAAGTAGCTCACATATATAAATTGTAGAGATCTTTTTTCGAATTTCGGAAAAGATACTATTTGTTGCAGCATTAATTCAACTCTGACTAGTAAAATATTGGGCAATTAATGAATTATCAACTGGGCCATGTATATTTAGGTAATCTTCTCGACGAGACTGAAGTACTCGAATGGATGGTGAAACAAAAAACTGATGAGAGCATTGAAGAAATCGACCGTGAGACTCTCATCAAATACATCGAGACGAAAGAATTTCTCGCTGTTATATTCTGTAAGGAATAATTTCGAATCATCGTATTTAACATAAAAATAGCAAGCAATAAGGAAACTTACCTATCTCGTTTCCTTGATTTTATTTATTCTTTACCGTTTTAGAGTTTTAAACATTATATAATGTTGCTTTACATAATTACAAACATTTTAAATCTGTTGTTAAATATATTATATTTATATATTAATATATAAATATAATATATTTAACAACAGATTTAAAATGTTTGTAGTTATGTAAAGCAACATTATATAATGTTGCTTTACATAACTACAAACATTTTAAATCTGTTGTTAAATATATTATATTTATATATTAATATATAAATATAATATATTTAACAACAGATTTAAAATGTTTGTAGTTATGTAAAGCAACATTATATAATGTTGCTTTACATAACTACAAACATTTTAAATCTGTTGTTAAATATATTATATTTATATATTAATATATAAATATAATATATTTAACAACAGATTTAAAATGTTTGTAGTTATGTAAAGCAACATTATATAATGTTGCTTTACATAACTACAAACATTTTAAATCTGTTGTTAAATATATTATATTTATATATTAATATATATGAGTAGCTCATTTGCAGAAGTAATTACTTTAACTTGTAATGTTTCTAATGGCAAAAAACTTGTATAATTTTTCTCATTCAAGCTATCAATAAAATATTTTTATTTTAATTTTAAAGCATTATTATCCTGTTAATAAAAAATACATGCTATATATTAAAAATAATTTTATATTTAGTTATAATTTAAAAAAATATTATATTGTATTCTCTTGTTATGCTTATGTCATAGTCAAATGAAAATAAAACAGGAAAAATTGGCAAAATAAGTTTCATAAAAAAATAATACTTGTCAATATATTATTATTGTTAAAATTGAAATATATTAAAATTAAGAAAACTAGTGAATTTCAGTCAGAGTACAAAGTAGATATTTAATTTCTTTTACAACTTTTATCCACTTTTCCTTGATTTTATAAAATTTGTAACTGTTTTTACACAATCTAAATTTGTACCAAGGTGCTAAGGAATCCAAGATCTCCAATATTTCTTTCTTTTCAATTTTAAAATATAGCGGCATTTGCAGCTCAGCTACTCATATAATAATTTGTTACTTTTTTATATAAGATATAAATTTGCTTTCGATAATTCTATATGAAACTTCTGTATTGCTATAACGACTATTCCGCATATAACCTTCTAATAGAATCGGTAATCTTATAAAAAAAGTTTTATATGTAATTGAAATATTAGAGGATACTATAATCACATAAGATTGTATAAATATTCAGACAAAGAGGAGGATCCGGAGAGTCCGAGAGTGCTTAGACATATCGAACTGATTGATGACGAAGCTGCGGAATACGGAATAAAGATCGTTAGGATGAAGGATCGGCTAATGGCAAAGAAATATGGTTTTCGAAATCCACCAGGCATTACTTACTTTCGCAAGAGTAAGAACATCAATTATGATGGTGATATTGATGACGAGGAGGAAATTCTTGACTGGTTGACTAATCCGGAGAATATGGAACTCACCGATCACATAGAACGTATCAACAAGAAGATGTTTCAGAAAGTGCGACAAACGACCGATTATCTAGCCGTATTTTTTTGTGAGTCAATATATAATTAATATAATACAGCTCAATAAAAACAATTACATGTGTTTTGCATTTCTAATACGTCGCACGTTTGTTTAGACAGCAACGACTGCAAACAATGTGGCCGAGTATTGGCGGAAATCGAACACATCGACGACGAAGCCGACAGCGCCGGTATTAAATTCGTCAAAATCGATGATAAACAATTATCTAAACAATACGGTGTTTTCGCGTTACCTGCTATACTGTTCTTCAAGATGGGGTCGAAGGAACCAGTTATATACGCAGGTACAAGACAAATTAAGGTGACGGTCCCAATTATGAATCTCATTTAGGATTAAAATAATTTTTAATAATATGTGTAAATTTAACATTTAAAAGGGTTGTTAATGTTAATGGTAAGCTGTAAATACTATATTTTTGAAGAAAAATTATTCCATGTTTAACCGATTATGAATTTGGGAAAAACATTTTAAAATGTTTATGTATAAATCTCATTTATAATTCTTTGTGTTAAAATTGTTCAACTCAATAATATTTAAATGTATGTTGTTTAAATTATTAAAGAATGCTCCATATTTTTCTTAAATGTCAGCAAATTTGACCCATAATTAGGGCTCAACATAATTGGAATCATCACCTTATACTTTTTTACTACTGAGATAGATGAAAGTTAAGAAAATTAATTCGGCAGGTGATTTATACGACGAGGAGCAAATTTTGCAATGGTTGATGACACAAAAGGATCCATCGGGTGAAGTAATCGAGGCTCTGGAAGGCGAAGATCTTTTAAATTTGATACGAGAATCGGAATCTTTAGCAGTATACTTCTGTAAGTTCCTGAATGCTTCGTATAACTTTATGAGATAAATTATCGAAAAAAATTACTGTTAATACCATCGCGCATTCTGTTTTTTTTTTATATCAATTTTATTTCCATTGTATTGTTAATTAATATGTGATTGACGATCACATGGATAGTGACAGTGTCAATTTGATTTTTATCTACATTTGTTTGCTCTAATTATAAACAGTGAGATTGGACAAAAAACTGCATTTCAGCAAGAAGATTTCCGTAAAAGAGTGACTTTGCGGAATATTGAAGGAATATTGATTTCACGATACTTCTTCCTGAACTTGTGAATCTTCCCTCTTCTTATCTCACACTTTTTACGTGATTAAATTAAACTCATATTGTATAATTAATTTTATGTTACATAATTACGATTGTAATGAAAAAATGACTAACTGTCCTTAACAAATGTCGATATTTGTCTTCCTCCTAATTCTTTCTATTACATACTACTTGCTGTCGACTTTCGTTCCGATGCTGTACACTTTGTGTACTGATGCCGTAGGGAACAGAACGCTTTGCGACGTGTGCCAATCAAAAACGTACCGTAAGCAGATGCGCCACAAGGAACATAGGACCGCGGAACATGCAGAGACGACCGAACACCTCGATGGTACAACAGATCAAAGCAAGATGAAAATTTATCGATGCCCTGATCTTCCTTGCTATCTACGTTTTTCTCTCTGCCCTTCTTCTTTCTCTCTCTCTCCTTTTCTCTGTCTCTATATATCTTTTCCTACCTCTCTGTGATTTATAGTCTATGTTTCAGTTATCTCGATTCTCTCTCGATCATAGATAACCGAGATGTACTCCTAGCACATGTACAAAATATGCACGGAGAAAAAAACCGTTTATCGGATACGCAATATACAGCACTCTTAATAAATTATTTTATTAGTCATATATAACAATATTCTTATAAAAAATATCCTATACCGGTAAACTTTTTTTCTCCGTATATAATCGCGTACGATTTATCGGTACGCAATATATGCAAGCTTTGCCGGAATCCGGAAAAGCTTTGAGAAATAATGCGTGCTATCTCGTAGTGTATGCGCTTTTTCGTAGGAAAAATAAAAGAACACTGATGATCGACGGGACAACTGTTCGTACTTTAAATATAGTGAAGTATTGAAATATAAATAAATTTCTTATACATTGGATAAAAATATCGAAATATATTTTGATTCTCTTTTAACCGTCAGTGTTCCCTTAATTATTCTTGTTTTATAGCTAACAGAAATGATTGTGGACGTAGAACACCGCCATTTTCCGGGCCAAATGTTTGTTAGGATGCTTTCTCCAAAGAAACAATGTATTCCTGTCTGTTTCTTTTTCTTTCTCTTTTTCTTTCTCTCTGATATATTCTGTATGTACAATTACACAGTTACACAGGTGCACGTGCACGAGAGCAAAGCATGCGACATGAGAACAGAACACAAGCAGCCAGGCAGTAGTGACCTACAGATCCCGATGAGCATGCAAAATACTTGCTTACTCCATCGAGAGACATATGCTCTAATATCGCTGAAAGTTTAAATATCACACGTAGACGATCGTCCGATCCTTGTCGCAGTATTACTCACACTTTATCACGTGTATTTGCCTTGTATTTAGCAGATTCCTCCCTCGTATCGAGTAGACCATTTACATCAACGATCGATGTGTAACATTCCATTATGTAGTATCGCCTTTATATTCTTTAAGTAGACTATTGAAAACAGCAAGTTTTTGCGATAAAGATTCGATAATAATAGAATTTCTCTTCAGATCCCGACGACTGTGCACAATGCGTGGGGATACTTGAGGAATTGGAGAACATTGACGACGATTGCGACAGACATGGCATTACATTTGTGAAAACACAAGTTAGTAAAAATATTAAAATAAACTTTTTGTGGTTTTTCTTTGTTATATCTATTTTACATTTATATTTTATTATCCTTCTTATATTAAATAAATAAGTTGCTCATTAATAATGAAAGCAGAAAAGCAATTTTTTATAATAAATAAAAAAATGTATAAAATAAACATCAATATATAACAATATTTTTACATAAAAAAGATGACAAATACGAAAATTGTAAATTGTAATACTGTAATATAATAATATATCTTAAAAAATAGAAATAATATTGATACTTTACAATTTTTTTGCTTATCTATATAAGAATATCCTTCGTTTTTGTAGGATTTCAAGGTTGCTGAAGATTATGGAGTGACTGATTTACCAGTATTAGTCTATTTCGAGCATCAAGTACCGAATGTGTTCGCAGGTTTGCAGTTTTGACGATTAGCTTTCCGAATAGCGATTTATTCACAATTATTTGTCTATAGGTGATCTCTCTGTGGAAGAAGAGGTGTTACAATGGCTGATTACTCAAAGAACAGAAGATCGAATCGAACTAATCACACGAGTGATGCTAGAAACGTCTGTCGAGGAGACTCAATATTTAGCAGTTTACTTCAGTAAGTTAATTACTATCGAGGATCAAGATATACGATAATTATTTTTCAAGTATATAAATTTAACATCCACGTAGCCAAGCCGAATTGTCACATATGTGACGAGATTCTGGAGGGTTTGGAAAAAATCGATGACGAATGCGACGTATTTGGAATTCATATGGTGAAAATTCAGGATACACAATTGGCGAAGCGATATTCCATCAAGACGTTCCCGGCTCTCGTTTATTTTCGAAATGGCAATCCTCTTCTCTTTGAAGGTTCTATTTATACTACTTATATTCTAACATGTTTATTCTTGATTATATCCTAATATTCTTGTCCTCGTAACGAATAAGAATCGGGAATTTTAAAACGTTATATGTGCAGGAGATCTCCAAAACGAAGAATCCGTCCTTGAATGGCTAATCGACGATGACAATCGAGAATTGGCCGATGAAATAGAGTCCGTCAACGATAGAATGCTAGAGAGGCTCCTCGATGAATCTCCTTTTCTAGCCGTTTTCTTTTGTATGTTACGAATAATCGATTTTTGACATTAAACTTTCTACTTTTTTTTTCTATAAGCACTTCTTTTCAACTAAGAATTCTTTGATTTAAATTAATTTTAAAAAATATCAAGGAAGATTATATTGTATATTACAAATTTACAATTTTCAATCATACATATTTTTACACGTGGATCATTAAATAATATCTTTTTTTTAATAAAAAATCCATTTATAATATATATTAAAAATATGATTTTTCATTTGTTTGTTTTTGAAAAGTTCAGTTTTCAAAAAGTTGTTTCTTTTTAATAGAGAACAAATGGAGATCCAAAATTGATTCAAGAATTTGCAGTTTATATATATCATATATAAATACGCTTTCCATATATATGTTTTATATTTTCTAGATGACGAAGATTGTCCGGAATGTGACGATATTATGGAAGCACTAGAGAAAATCGACGGCGAAGCCGATCTTTTCGGAATCGACTTCGTTAAGATCTCCAGTTCGGAAGCTGCTGAAAAATATAGCATTCTCAACGTTCCGTCCCTCGTGTACTTCCGAAAGAAAACGCCACTCATATACGACGGCGATCTTACACAAGAAGACAAAATCCTGCAATGGCTCACTTCTCAAGATGTGTTTGAGATTAAGAATGAGATCGAGGAAGTTAACAGAAAAATGCTAGACAAATTGTTGGACGAGAATGAGTTTCTTGCAGTCTTCTTTTGTGAGCAAATATAAAATACAAATTGTGCGTGACAATATTACATTTGAAAATTATCTCGTTATACGTCTAACATTTCCAGATGAACATGACAGCCCTGAAAGTGAAGAAGTAAACGAAAAATTGGAAGAAATCGACGATGAAACTGATAATCTGGATATTACATTCGTCAAGATGGCAGATCCTAGATACGCTAGGAAATGGGGAGTTACCAGGCTTCCCGCGATTGTTTATTTCCGCAAACGCTTCCCAAGTATCTACAGAGGTAAGAAGCTTTGCGGAAATATAGTATCTAATTCACTTCGTGATCCGATTCGCCTCGATCTACTCTATCATAAAAAATAGCTTGTTATTATAGGGATCGCTTTTCTTCGGTGCTTTTAAGTCATATTTCAATTGCTCTACAGGTGATTTGCACAAAGGACAGGACGTTCTCGAGTGGTTGCGCAAGAATAGATATCGACAGCCGGAACTGAACATCTATATGTACATGCTGATTGCCATCACCATTCTCTTCCTCATGTACACCGGTTTCCTACTGTCGTGTTTCCGCTCGGAGCCGACCGCGCCCGTCGTACATCCCAAGCAGGCGTGAACGCGCGAAAATATGCAAGTGACAAATAAAGTAAAAGACAGGACTCGTGAACACTCGCGCCTGTGTGTGCCCGGTACTCTCAATATTCTCTCTGATTCCCGATGCACGATGTGTGGATAGGTTCGTCCGGAACGAACGATCTAACAGCGCTTTACGTAACAAGTAACGATGACCGCTAAAGCGGAAATGGAAGCTAATGATCTACCTGTGAGCGTGTTTGGACCGCTGTCAAACGTTAAATAATATTGCGTGAAAGAGGGGGAGAGAATGTGTCTATTGAATTTCGTACTCTCTAAATTCTTTGAAGTGAAATCTCATTCTAAAGAGTGAAAATTAAGTCAAGCTTTTGTAAGTCTTGAAAAAAAGTGACTCAATTTTCAATCTTTAAGAGTGAGATTTTACACTCTAGAGAGACAATTCATTCTAAAGGTTTTAGGCTGGCATTCATAGTCAGTTCTTATATTCAAGGCCGTTCTATCTTGAGGTGTCCTGAATCAATTAAAAGGCCGCATTAGCGTCTTAAGACATTATACTTAAGACGGTCTTGAAATAAGAACCGACTATGAATTCCGGCCTTAGAGAGTAGTATTTTGAACCGAAAAATACTCGCGCGAATGTAGCGCGAACTACAAGTTTCGGATAAAATGCAAGTTCAGTCAAGTTGAAAGATAATTTTAACAAATTGACATCGATACTACTACATTCTTTGTCTCACAAAAAAACGAGCGATTAATATTTATTGTAAAAAGTTATAATATAATATATAATATATACATATATAATATGTAATATAATATATACATATATAATATATAATACAATAAGGAAATATTGTAATAGAATGTTTGTTCAACGCTTGACCCTTAGTATCGCTAATCCTAAAGAATTGATATAATTGATATAGTTGAAGAATTTCGACACGACAAAATGTTTTTCAAACAAAATTTGAATATCTTCATCACTATTTATCAATAAAAAATATAAATAATAGTTGTAACGCGCGCGCGGTCAAAGCTAGATCTTTAATACTTAAATAATTCAATCCGAATTACTATATATACTATATATATACTTGCATATATACCATATTTGTAGTCATTCAAACTGCTCATCGAATTGTTTTTCCGGACATATAAACACAATTAAACTACTGTAGTAATATCACAAATTAAATTGATAAGCAATTTTTTATAATTTAATGCTCAATCAGGTATCTTATTAAAAACATTAATATGCTGAAAAACTGTAAAAAAATTTATTGTGAACAATAGCGAAAAATATTATCTTGGCCGAGAGTCGAACACGGATCTCTTGTATTCCGTACGAGCATCATAAGCCTTTAGACTACCGAGGCAATTGATCACTATTTGTCTTTTCTGTCCAATAAGGAATATCTTTAATCATTACCGCTTGCCATTATTTATTAGTAAGGTTATTATTAGCTATCATTATTTCGTTAATATTATTATTATTACTCGCCTCAAAATTATTGCTATTATATTGGTACTATTATTTATATATTTATTACTGCTGTTATATTGCTATTGTAATTATAATCATAATTATAATTTTATTATTAATATATAATTATTATATTGTTAACATATAATAACTACCTAGTAAACACCAACAGTAATATAATATCAATGTAATAATTTTACACAGTTAACAATATAAATGCAATATAACACATATTGTACATTTACACTGTAAAATTATAACATTAATGTTATATTACTGCTAATTGGTGTTTACTGGATAATAAGTATGACAGCGGTCAACGATCGTACAAACTTCCTTAGTTTATGTACGGTAGCTCTTATTATCCGATCCTTCGCAATAACTACTAACACTGTTTAACAATGAAAAATTCTCTCTAAAGTGTGATAGTGCATTTCGCAAAGATTTTTTCATGCTGAACATGGATGATGTTGGTATACTTGACATAGCACGTCAGAATTTTGAGCAAATCGAGACAAAATAAAAAAACTGGCGGTTTTTTGGCCATATTCAATATTTTTACAAAACAAAAGCTTGTTTCTAAATAAAATCTACGATATTTTAAAATATAATACAAGAACTTTCAAATGAATTTTAATTCATGATCGTACAATTTTTTATCAAATTATATTGGAATTTAAATTTTGTGTATAATTACACAGTTAACAAAAAATATTTTTTCTCTTCAAAGTGCCATACATAAAATCTGAAGGTTTTTTGCGCTGAACATGGTGCTGTTGTCCGAATTTGCATAGCGCATCAGAATTTTTAGTACATTAAGATGCAATAGGCTAAAAACTATCTCAATTTACTATTACACTCCAATTTATGAAAAATCTTGATGTGCTATGCAAATTCTAAGAACATGTTTTGCACGAAAAGTCTTCGAAGTATGTACTACGACATTTAAAAAAAAGTGATTTTTTCTGTTGAATTATAATTATACAGACTTCTATAATTATATAGAAAGTCTAAAATTCAAATAACTTGTTTTTGTTCTATTGCATCTTAATGTACTAAAAATTCTGATGCGCTACGCAAATTCGGATAATAGCATCATATTCAGTGCAAAGAATCTTCAGATTACATATGGCAATTTGAAAAGAAAAAAGTTATTTTTTGTTAACTGTGTAATTATACACAAAATTTAAATTCCAATATAATTTGATAAAAAACAATTACTTGATGAAAATAAGTCATAAACTAAAATTTATTTTAAAACTCTTGAATTATACTTTGAAATGTAAACATTATTTAAAGACAAAACTTTGTTTTGTAAAAAAAAGTGTTAAAAATACTCTTTCTATTTTGCTTCATTTGAAGATTTGACGTACTACATCAACTCTACCAATGTCGAAGAATTGGAAAGAATACGGGCTTTAGGAGTCAGGCGCAGAAGACGTCGCGTAAATAATGCATTTATGAAGCTTGAAACTTCTTTATTTAACAAACGTGCTTACATGTTTCGGCTTATTTTTGAGCCTTCCTCAGAGCAAACACAAACTGACATATATAAAGTAAAAGTTATTCTGTTATGGTGAGCTCCCCTACATCGAGAATTTAAATGCCAGAATTAAACAAAAAGAAAGAAAATGAAAGAAGTAAAATGAAAAAGAAGGGAAATATTAAAAATGTCGAATTAAAGAATATAGAAACTAATTTATCAAAAAACTTTAATAATATAATTAATTATCCCGAAAATAAGGACGCTCACCACGATTACAAAGTACCATATCGCAAACATTATCATGAATAATTCAAGAACTGGTTCCTGATATGTTGGCCAGTCGGTATCAGACACAGTGAGTCACTTTTTAGTTATTAGCTAGTATTAATGAAAATTGTAAAGTGATAAAAAATTTCGTCAGAAGGACTTATTACTGTGTACGAACGACACCGACTGAGCCGAAACATGTAAGCGCGTTTGTTAAATAAAGAAGTTTCAAGCTTCATAAATGCATTATTTGCGCGACGTCTTTTGCGCCTGACTCCTAAAGTCCGTATTCTTTCCAATTCTTTGATTTATAAGGAGTCTTGGTTAGTTTGATTTGTTATACGAATTCACCGATGTGTCATTAGTCAACTCGAAAAAATCTTCGCAAAATACACTATCACATTTCGGAGAGAAATAAAAATGCTTTTTTGTCGAACAGTGTAATCGTCAACATTGATCATTTAATAAACGAAAAAAAGGGATTATTTTTATATCCTCTCCATGAGGGAGACTGATGATATCCTTCTCATGAGGGAAACCGATGTTGTCATCGTTACTAAATGAAATAAGAAGCGCAATCTTGGACCAACTCCAAACCGTTAAAATGCCATTTCCATCTGCCAAGTGTGAATAGAATTATAATGCGAACGCGAATAATAATGTATTGTATGAAAAGCGAAGCTCCTTTTAGATTGTTCGCAGGATTATAGATAGATAATAATTACACATGTTATGTATTATAATTCTTTTGAATACTCTCTTTTGATTCTGCGATATGGATGCGTATAGAAATATTTCAGCCACGTATATGAAAATATGTCTTAAATCAATTTTCAAAATATACATGAATTGTTACAACCATTTCATTGGTAGAATTATTTCCTCAAGTAGCAAGATGACGTTTTAAGGACATTTTATTCATGTTAAAGATGTCATTAAGATATTATTAAGATGTCATTTGACATCACCTCGTTACTTGGGTTACTATTAATTGTTAACATGCCATGCTCAGCGAAGCTCATTAATTAAGATTTATGCATCGCGAGTAACTATAATTAAAAAGTTGTTAATGAATATATATTGTTTCTTAATCATGTAAGAGATTAAATTATTCATACATTTTGTAAATTTCGAAATAAATACCCATCACGCAAAAAATATACAAATTTAGAATGTAAGACAAAAATTAAATAAGAAGATATGTAAATCAAAAATTAAAATTTTTACTAGCACAAACGTAGTAAATAAATTAAACAATAGTTTATGATATAATTGTAATTTTTTTACAATGCGCCCAATGTAACGTGATTCGCATATAATATGTACTATAAAACATTTTTCGGAAAGTTAATAAAAAAACCGGCTAATTTTATATTTAAAAATTAGTTTTAATATGTAAAAAAAAATATAAAATACGGAAACATTAATATTTTTATTTTTAGATACTTTTTAATTATGCCAGTGTTGTTTGCAATTTTATTATGCAAGTCATACGTAAATGCAACATCTTTTATAAATCGACATTTTATTTCTCAATTCATTATAGGCGTATACATATGTATATATTATCATGATAAAAAAAAACCGTATATATATTTTATTTAAACATCTGCAGAATTCGAAACCTATAAACGATTAATTGTCGTATGTCTGTACGTCAATTTTAGTTTAGAAGGTGAAAGATAACAAAAAAAGAGGTACAGAGAGAGAGAGAGAGAGAGAGAGAGAGAGAGAGAGAGAAACACATAACAAATATATTTTTAAATATAATATATCACCGTCGAGACAGCGCATTTGTGCTGTCTCGACGAATTCTTCTACAAGATCGAGATTAGAAATTTTGATATATTGTCAAAAATACCCAGTCAGAAATGACAATGGAATCTACATTAAATTGATGTCGATTCGACGTCGAAATCATCAAATTCGTTGATTCGACATTTGCACAAAATAAGCGCAACGAAATGATGTGATTAATATTATCGGAAAACTAAGATGCTTTAAACGAGAATAAGATCATTTATCTCAAAATTAGATGAATGTTTTGCAAAATATCGTCAATTAATTACAAAGAGAAAATTGATATTGCCTGAAATTCTCTTTGTATTTTTAAATTAAAATTCACTCTTATT